TTAAAAGTATTTAATTCGAAACACAGCTTGTAATATTTGGTTTTAATTTGGCTTTTATCGGGGTTTATTTTCTGTATTTTTGTATTTTGTAATTTTTTGTATTTTGTGTTTATTATTTGTTTTTAGTGTGCTGTGAACCGCCCTGAGTCCTATGGGAGAAGGGCGGTATACAAATTAAAATAATAAATAAATAAAATAAATAAATAATAAATCACATGGGATCCCCTGGGACACTGTGACCATCATAAATATGAATGAGTTGCCAAGCATCCAAATATAAATCACATGACCCTGGGCATGCTGCAATGATCACAAGTGTGAAAAATAAGTCATAAGTCATTTCAGTGCAATTGCAACTTTGAACAGGGGTTGTTTTTTTTTTTGGTACTCGAATATTGCCATATCCTAAAAGTGGTACAATCGATGAAAAGGTTGAAAAGCCCTGAACTAGAAGACCTCCAAGGTCCCTTCTGTTATTCTGTTACTCCATTATTCTGTCTGAATGCTAGTCTCTTCAGGAAAAATTATCATTTAACAAATGATATTTAATGCAAAAGTGGCTCTTTCACCAATTATAATGTATATATGTTAGTATTTTATTCAATTGTCAGCCGCCCTGAGTCCGTAAGGAGAAGGGCGGGATATAAATGCAATTAATAAAAAATAATAAAAATAAAAAATGACACTAGTGCCATATTAACTTCAAAGACCTGGTTGACATTTCTTTTCATGGCAACATAACAAACAAACAAAAGCTTGGAAAACATCTACAAGTTTTACACTGGGCTCATATTTTCATACAGTATTTGGAATGTATGAAGAAAAGTTGACTACAGCAAACCAATAGGAAGGTAACTATACTAAACAATGGCACAGATTTATTTATTTTATTCACTTAAAAAGATCTCAATCTTACCAACAAAATCTCATGAATATTTGTTTAATGGAATGAACTGATGTGACTGTATAGTTACTATATAATTGATTTCATGTAATTTTAATTTTTTTGTTTACTTTGGACTTACTGTTTATTTTCTAATTTTGTTTTTATTTTTCTAATAGGATTTAAGAGTTCAAAATAAAACACCTGTAAGTTTTATCTAAGGATCCCTGGGATTCAGATTCTTCCCACTTTTCTGCTGTCTAATTGATTGGGAATAGTGAGGAACAGTTCCTGTCTTTTTTTTTTAAAGAGAAATAAGCAATCTATTGAGAAATAAAGAAATAATGTATATATGTACTATATGTAATGTAATGTAAGTTGTTACTCATATATCTATTGCTTGAAATTCTTTCTATATCAGAAACTTTTAATGATGCAGGAAACAATTTAATCTGGATACTAAGGGGATATACATGCAAACAGACTAAAACAAGTTAAGTCATATGTGCTGATCTTTTCAGGTCCTTATTCTGGAAAAAAAACTTAAACATTGAAAACTAAAATATTTTTAAAAATAGCAATAGCAATTCCTCTCTCACAGAGTTGAATTGATGGGAAAGGCTGCACCTGGTTAAAAAATATCTTTTATTTTTTTTCCAGTCTTTGATGTTTCTAAATATTCAAGGACAAGTACATCAACTGATCTCATTTTGTTATTTTTCATGACAGTTCTTGCTTTTTTAGTCTTGCTGGTAGATAGAGCAGCTTCTAATACTCTCCTGAGTAATGCTATTATGAACTTTGATCTTATATTATGTCTAGTGCTCCTTTTTGATCTAATTGTATCCTGTTTATTTTTTGTATTATGTTTATGTAAGATATTCTAAAGAATCTGCCATACAAAATTGCTCGCTCTCTCTCTTTGCTTTTGTTTATTCCATGTAGCAAGTACACTGTTGTTATATTTAATTTTATAATTTCTAATTTTATTAGATTTACAAATCACCATGTATACCATTGTTTAATTTATTAAATAAGACATCATGACTGGGTTTCATAAGATGCTAATTCAGTGCTAAGTAAACCACATTGTGGCTTAGAATGTTACTCTAAGTCCTTTGTTAAATATTAATGTAACTCAGTGGCTGGGTTCAACAATATACTAATCTCTAAATCTGGGTTTTAAAAACATAATTGCTACATTTCCTAACTTTCCAAATAATACATTATATTGTGCTTATGCTGATTATACTCTGATTCACAGAACTTCTCAGATAATGGATGGATTTGCTGCCTGTTGAGCCACTACTTGGCTACCTTAATTTAGCTTAGATTATTATGTAAATCCAGACTGCATTAAAAACTGAACTTAGCACATGTTGGTATGTTTCTACCAAAGAATCAGCTTTTGGAAAATTCCAAGAAAATTGAAAGGGTATATTAATGTGTATTTTGCTGAAAACATATTTACTCCTGAACAAACAGACTAAATTTTCACAAATTTTCATGTTAGACTAAAAAAATGACTGGGTAGTGTGTGGATCAGTGACTTCATATGTTGCATTAAGTCGTAATGTGTTTTGTCTGTGGTTATGACTAAATCAGCTAATAAGGATTTATTCAATAAATCTTGGTTAAAAAATCTAATTTGTGATGTGTGACAATATTCAGTGTTTCTTTAGCTTTTTAAAACATGCTGTAGAAAGTGAAAACTTCATTATCAGATGCTGTCAGTCAGGCAAGAAGCACACCCAGAAGAACTAGCTCTACTTTATTATAAGTTTATATTAGAGGGGCAAGTGCCAGATTGCTGCCTTAAATATATTTGCAAACCAAAAAGGAATACCTGTTTGGCAGCTAGGAGTGTTGGAGCTAGCACTGCCCATGAAGACATTGGATGGCTTGACAAAAGTCTAAGTGGCAGAATATTCTTTCTAACAGTGGTGACATTTGGTGGTGGTGAACTATTTTTCAAAAAATGCCAATGGGCTGCATAAGCCTGCTAAATGGACCATATGTTGTATCGCCCTGGTTTAGACCATACCTGATAACATGGAATCATTGAACTGGAATGGAATTCACAATCAAAACATTTTATTCCACATTCACGATAGTATTATTACTATTAAGGGCATCCACATTTGTCAAAATGTGTTAGCCCTGCAAAGTAGCTAAGTAGGAAGCACAACCAGGAGTACTAGCTCTCTATTTATTGTAAGATTACATTAACAGAACCTTGCTAGGTTAAAATAATTTCTTCCTTTATTTCCTTTTACTCTCCAACAAACTAGGCAGGATCCTTTCTTAAATGTTTCCCTTGTGCAAATGAAGATTAAAAACTTACATATTCAGCTAGAAACGGCCTGTCTGTTTAACTCTACAAATGGCCAATCTGCAGCTGAGTATTTTAACCTATTTTTCTCTGAACTGAAGGCTGCATACCTGGAGTTTCCACATAATCTCCAATTCAGGAATGGACTGGAAGCATACTGGCTTTGTTTCAGGTACACTGAGATATCACTGTGTTCTGACTGACTCCCAAGCTTTCTTATATCTTTTATAGGAAAATTTATGAAATTGAGTTGCAAAGTTGAGGAATTGTTGTATTGAGCATCCTTTTGGGATGTTCCATTTCATCCACTGGATTCATACTTATCAAAATGTACTGTGTAAATCAAACTAGCCTATTAAACTAGAAGCAGATCTTCACCATTGCAAAGGACAAACAAGGTTTATTAGGAAAAGTTATATACAATAGTAGAAAGGCTGCATCATTCAGCTTTTTGTTTTTGAGGTCAGGAAAAAAAAGGAAAGCAATATTCTAGGCTTCCTATAGGAAGCAGACTGAAGAGGAAAGCTATTTCAGTAGGCAGAGCAGAGCAGAGCAACACAGAAACAATGAAAGGAGAGGGAGCTCCTGGCTTTCTAGCTTTATTTTTAATGTCAACTAGTAGTCAACAGGATAAAAAAAAATGCCAAGAGTAGATGCATCTGGAGCAGCATCTCAAACAAAAAAGGAAACAAAAAGGAAAAGGGAGTTGCAAACAAGATGGCCAAGTAGACAAAATGACTGAATCTCTGCCAACAAGAAGGAAGATTCAAAGGGGAGGGAACCCTCCAAAACAGGATGCCCAGAGAGGCCAAAACAAAGGACCTAGTTAGCTACTGAAAAACCTATAGTTTGTATATGTCTTTGATGATGGGCCTGAGAGTGTGTGCAAAGCTGAATCAAAGAAAAATACTACCCACAACACTGCTTACAATACTCAATATTTGGGATATTTTTCTACTGGCAGTTTAAAGCATGGGTGTCATAAAATATAACTATAATGTTGATCTTCCATTCTGCCCATGCTCTGAGACTGCCTTCTTTTTCATTCTGCTGAAGCATATTTTCTTCCTACTCTGACATTCTCTTGATCTTGAAATGTACCAAAATCTGAGGTAGGACAACTTTTAAAGAAGTATAGACTGGAAGTTTCTCATGTCCACCAACAAGTAGACATTGGTAAGGTGTCATCATCAAGTTACTGCAGAATGTCTGAAAGTTGTAACACTGCAATGCTGGGTGGGGAGCAGAGAGGGGGGCAGGAGAAGGCTGGGAATGAGGGGCAGCAGATTTCAGACAGTTCTATAACTTTCATATAGAACTCTCTGAGGTCTAAACAAGCAAACAAGCATTTCAATAATGATTGGTGGTCAGGTTAGAATAAGAAAGATAATAGATATGAGTTGGATTGTTATCCTGCCTTTCTAACAAAGAAAAATAATAAAGTGGCTAACAAACAAGAATAAGTTAGAAAGTTTATAATAAAACAATTACATAATAGTATTTTATTATGATTAGTTAATTAATTGAATTCTTAAAGTTAAACCATTTAAACTAAATAATTTAAACAATTAAAAACTAAATTAGAATGGTACAATAATTGCATATGCAAAAGTTATAAAATAGTAAATAATAATTATCACCAGTAAAAAGCTTAAATGCAAGATTGAAAAGATGTTGCTTAGGACTATTTCAGAAAATAGTCCATCCTTATATTTTACATCTTTTAAAACTGAAAGTAATGTATAACTGCAATAGTTTGCATCATTTTTCTCTTACTTTTGTCTTCCATATGAGTTACAATTCCAGTTATTCTAGGACTCCTTGTCCAGCACATCTATATCATGTTGGCAAATGCCATAGTATAAGTTTATTTGCCCAATCCTAAAATCATGCGCTCCCTATTTTGAGGCCTTGCAACTTCAACAATAATTAAAATGAATTAAACTTTAAAAATATAACTTACCAACTGGTTCCTTATTTTATCTGAAAGGCTGGGCTCATTCAAAATGAAAACAGACTTCCCTGAAGAATCACCAGATATTAAATGCAGCTTCGTTTTATTGACATCATTAGACAAACCAATGGTAATGAAAGATATTCCAAGAGCTCTGGCCTTTTCTGATATGTCTTGAACGTTGGGGTTTTTGGGATGATCAATACCATCTGTCATTAGCAAAACCACTTTGATGCTTGTTTTGCGACCTTCTGCTTTGAGCAGCTGAGTTGCATTAGAAATAGCATAGTAGGAATAAGTGCCATGCCCAATGTAGCTCATTTCATTGACTTTTTGCTTGAAAATCTGCAAGTTTCTCCACGCTGAAAAAGGACAGTCAATTCTGACAGAACTACTGAACTGCATGATGGCCAGTCTGATGTCATACCTGTGGACACGGGTGGGCTTCATGAGGAAGACTTTATCACTTAAGAGGATAGCAAACTCTTTCTGCTTATCAAATAATATACCCTTTGCACTTTCAGAACTATCCAGAACAAAGATGATGTCAATAAAACAGACAGAATCTAAAAAAGACAAGATTAAAAATGACATATTGAGAAAAGTCATATACTAAAAAAAGTAGACAAGGCAGCATTATGATCCATGTACAAAAGGAGTGGGCTGCTTTCATAATTTTGATTCCTCATTCCATGGACACCACTATCAAGGCAGCCATGGGGAAACTTCAAAGTTTGATGTACAACAGGATTTGTATACCTCTATATTACCAACTGTTTTACATGTAAGCATGGACAACCTGTGAAACCAAAGAATTTCTACCCCATGCCCTCAGCTAGAAGTGGTACAAATTGGAACAATAAAACATCAGTAAAATTGTCTATGGTGATTCTCAATCATTTAGGTCGTGGTTGCCACAAAGGAACTTTTTTTCCAAAAGGCAGCTCTTTTTTTCTTTGAAAACAAGGGAAGTTTTACAACATAACATTCCTTTTTGCTTTGGTACAGGATACATCTCTTCTTAAGCATGAAACAAATCACTCCTTGAAAAGTCTCATTAAGCATCACTCAGTATCCTGGAATGCTGAAAGGGCTTTGGGAATAGCTTATCCCAATATTCCCTTGCTGAATACAGAATCTGAAATATCAGATATAGCATTCCTAACAATTCATACCCAAGTTATATTTATACAGTATAATTCCTTCTGAAATAGTCTCACATTAAACGTTCATAATTTTTAAGATGATTTGCTTAGAGCTGTTTCACAATTCTAGTTGTACAACTCTGATTTACAGAATTACAGAACAGAATGGATATTTAGACCACAAATTCAAAATGATAATGTCCTACACTAGAGAGAAAGAGCACCAAGGAGATAATAGTTGTAGCATTTAAATATTTGTTATCTCATAGGTAGCCTTCAATGCATATAAATAATTCAAAACTGTAGGCAGGGGGAACTTCTATTCTACAATTCTTTTGTATTATTCCCTCCCCCCTTTATTAAGATGTTATTAGATCGACACCTCAATATAATCCAGTAGCAATGACAGTCATGTTTATCAAAAGATATGATTATTGAACCAGCCGAATGTCTCTCAAACCATTCTGAAAATATGGTTGAGGGGCCTATGTTTTTCAATGCATATTCCATGCATCATGTCTGCCATTAGAAAGAGATGCACATTCAAAAGAGAATAACAATGTCCTTTGCAATCCACTGAGAGTACATTACATATAGAATTCCATGAGATTTGTGAAGATACAAAATGCTGGTAGAGAGATATACGGTATCACTCTCCCTTCGGAATCTTTTCATGCAACCTATAGCACTTCCTTTTTTATTTATAATGCTTATATCAAATTCTAGGAATTTACCCTGAAGATTGTCTTTTCTTGCTAGAGAACTTAACCTTTGTCCCTTCCTTCTGTTTTGTCCATATACTACATTGTTTGTTGCAATGGCCAAAACCAAAAGGTAAAGGATGGAGTGTTTTTTCCACATAGTGACTTGCATTCAAAATCCAATGACTGCTTACTGCTCCTGCTAATAAAAAAAAAAGCCATTAACTTTTCATCATGTTAATAAGCCCAGAATACTGATTTGTATGGAACATTGTTAAATGATTATAAAAATCTACAACCTTGTAATTAAATTACAGTATTTCATTATTTAAATTAAACTGTCTCATCTTCCTATTACTAGTATTAGGCATTAGGCCTGGAAAAAGCTGTATCTAAATTCTTTTTATTGACTTCATTTTAAAATCTATTTCATTTTGCTGTAACTTTTTCTATTGTAAGCTTTCATAAAAACATAAAGAGAAAGCAAGGAAAAACTATTCTAAATAAATAAAGAGAAAATATTTATGCATTTTTTTTTCCTTCTAGCTGATATACCAGATTTCTCAAATCATACATTTTGCAAGTTTCACAGATCTTGCTTATTTATATTATATTTTTAAAGCATAGATATTTTATGCTTTTTGGTCTCAAGATAATGGGATAAACATGGCTTGCATTAGGTAATATAATTATAAAAATTAGCATCATCCTCTTTTTTAATTTAGTCAGTTAGCATCTTTCTTTTAGATGTGCAAAAGAATTGCTGAAAAGACTCTCATTTCTGTTATTTATCTTGAAAAAAAATCAGACCAGTTTTCTCTAAAAAAAAGATTGCTTGTGTAATTCTGCTTCAAAACTGCATTTTTAGCAGACACAGTCATTTCAATCAGAATTCATATGCAGCATTTAATTCTATTTAGAAAGAAAACTATTTTGCATTCATTAGAAAATATCTACAATATAGAACCTAATATAAAATATATTACAAAAATACTAATTTTGCTGGACTGCAGAAATTTATACAGCTTACTGTCTGCTTCAGTGGAGCTTACATGCAGAAAACTCAATATTGGTCTTAAATGCTTTACTCAGAGCATCTTTACTAAATTCAATATTAACTTGTGACACCAACATAACATTTTCAATCCTATGATTCACTGATAATGCCAAAATGAATTTTATATAATATTGTGCAACTCTATCCTCTAACAGAAAATACTGCATTATTTTTTACTGGTATTATACTTATATCGCTAATTTCAACAATTGTTAAAATCCAGTTGGTCATTGATCATATCTTATTAAAATTAAAAATGTTATGCTTTGAATTTGCATTTATTTTGCTAAGATAAATTATTTTTATCATCACCATCATCATATCATCATCATCATCTTACCTTTCTTTAGAAAGACTGAAGCTCAAACTGAAGAGTGAATACTTTTTAAATAAATATGATCTTGAAAATTCATTCTGGGGATAGGGGATTAGTATTCTTTCCTAAACAATTGCAGTAGTTCTGGAATAACTAATTAGTCCAGATGCAAATAATAGTACCTTGCATCTGGAACTTGATCCTTGACTCATGTTTCATTGCTCCAAGCTGAATGCAGAATGGTTAGGCATTTGGCCAGATCTTCAATCTGGGTGGACATACTAAAAATGTTAAAGGAACAGCTTTTCTGAGAGTTTGTTTTACAAGTGGCTTGTTCATTATTATACAATTTTTATTTTTTTATTTTTAACAGCAGTTGCAATATTTAATTACCCAAAATGGTGTATAAACCCAGCAAAAAAAAAGAGAAATAGAAGAAAGATGGAATTGAAAAACAACAAAGCTATACATAGGAAGTTATCATAGCATCAGATGAAGTATTTATATAAATCATGATAAGTTGCAATTTTATTATCAAGACTTATTAAATAATCCAGTTAGCTAGATTCACATATTGTACTGAACATCAAATAAGTAAACCACATTATGCTTGCATCATATAAAATAACACAACAGCTAAAGAAAACAATATACCAATATCAATTAAAAATAAACTAAAATGGTACTATAAATCATAAGACTAACAAAATAAAATTTGAAAAATAAAAATATTTTAGACCTTAAACCTTAAATCTCTCTTAAGGTGATCTGAGAGAAGGGTACATGCTAGAGAAAACAGTCCTGTAGATTAGTGGTCTCCAAAGTGAGGTATTTGCCTTAGTGTGTAGTCAAGACAATCCATGCAGATAGCAAGAAAATATTGAAATATTGTTCATTCATCTTTATGTAATGATCTGTGAAAATAACTTAAGAGATAGGAGGAAAAAAGATTATAGCCTAGACAAAGGTCAGACAAGAGATTTCTAGATTACATAAGAATTCTAATCATGGTTCCTCCCTAATTCTCTTCATAGTAAAGGTGAGGAAGAGGAGAAGTACTTTCAGACTTGAAAGATTCTGTTATTATAATAGAATCGTTTGGGCTTGTCTGAAAGGAATAACAGTATAACAGAGTTTGAAGTGACCTTGGAGGTCTTCTGGTCCAATTACCATTCAAGAAGGAGACCTATACCATTCCAGACAAAGAGCTGTCCACTGTCTTTTTAAAAGCCTCCAGTGATGAAGCACCCACAACTTCCAAAGGCAAGCCATTCCACTGGTTAATTGTTTTCACTCTTAGGAAATTTCTCCTTAGTTCTAGATTGCTTCTCTCCTTTATTAGTTTACAACCGTTGCTTCTTATTTTTCCTTCTGATGCTTTGGAAAATAGGTTAATTCTCCTCTTGTTTGTGGATCCCCTCAAATATTGGAACACTTTTATCATGTCACTCCTAGTCCTTTAGAGTAAACTAGACATACCCCATTCCTGCAACCATTCTTCATATGTTTTAGCCTCCAGCCCCCTAATCATCTTTGTTGCTCTTCTCTGCACTCTTTTTCAGAATCTCAGAATCTTTTTTATATAGTGGTGATCAAACCTGGATGCAGTATTCCAGTCTTACTAAGGCATTATAAAGCAGTACTAACACTTTACGTGATCTTGATTCTATCCCTCTGTTAATGCAGCCTAGGATTGCGTTGGCTTTTTTGATGGCTGAAGCACATTGCTGGCTCATATTTAAATGATTGTCCACTAGGACTCCAAGATCCCTCTCGCAGTTAGTTATTGAGCCATATTTCAGCTAATCTGTATCTGTACATTTGATTTTTCTTGCCTAAGTGTGAAATCTTATTTTTCTCTACGTTGAATTTCATTTTGCTATATAGGGTCCAGTGTTCAAGTCTGTTGAAAACACTCTGAATTTGATGACTCCATGGAACATCCTTGGAATGACTATGGCTTATTGTTGGGGACAGGGATACTACCTAAGTATTCAGGTTTTGCAATATCAGCAACCTTTTGCATCTTGTACTAATTCCTAAGTTTTCAACAGTTCTGTTTTTATCCTTTTTTTTGTTCTGTTCTAAGGTAAGATTATCCTTTTACCAAATCCCAAATAATTTTTTTTTTAAAAAGACTCTTTTGGATAAATATGGTATACTGAGGTTGTCTGGTTCCAGTTTTGCTTTTAAGAAATAGAAAACAAAATAAATTTAATCTTGATCTTGACATATCCTTTTTGATGGCTGGGCTCACTCTGTTGGAATTCCATTCATGCTTGTCTTCAGGTTCCCCAGTTGCCATCCAGACCATTGCATGAGTTCAATGTTTTAATTTGACATGTCTTTATTAAATTGTCATTATCTCATCCCCAGCCCACAACTGAGCCAAGTTAAAGTTTTCAGCTGTACCAATTTTAAAATACAATTTTTATTTATTTTATTTGAGGGCTAATCCATATGGAGTTCCGTTTCCATCTGTCCTGTTTGCCGTCGTTCGCTCCCTAGAGACTAAAATGGATGTTCTGAACTTGAGCTGGCCACGAACAAGGAGTGTATATCGGAGATGGTGACCCTTTGAGAGCTGTATACAACGAAATTTCATTTTGATGTATGCTGACTGGTGTACATTCAAAGTGACAATAAAGTTGTTGTTGTTGTTGTTGTTGTTATCTTATGCAATTTTTATTGTTGACATAATCTAGCATGCTTCATCTACAATATGATTAATGACATAGTCAGGAACTGGGATCTGCCTAGTTATATTTGTCATTCTAGCCTACTCTCAGCCCTTGAGGCAAACCAGGTCAGGGAACAGACAATGCATGGATTACCGAAATTCTCTAGGAGTTAAAGATGCTGAGCTTGTCAGCCGCAAAGCTGATAGTCTGGGTTTGAGACCTGAATACTGCGTGAAGGGGTGAGCTCCTATTACTTACCCCAGCTCCTGCCATTCTAGCAGTTCAAAAGCATGCAAATGTGAGTAGATAAATAAGGACCACATCGATGGGGAGATAACAGAGTTCTGGGCTGTTTGCCATTCCTGCCAGCTTAGTGTTGTCTTAAAATTTGATGAGTTCCCTTCTATCCTCTCATCTAAATTGTTTATGAAGAGTACTGTGGCTAAAACAGAACCTTGAGCATCCCACTTTCCTTACTTTCCTTTATGTAGATGTACCCATGTTTTGAGCATCCCACTTACTTTCCTTTATGTAGATGTACCCATGTTTTCCCAAAAATAAGACCAAGCCTTATATTAATTTTTGCTCCAAAATACACATTAGGGATTATTTTCTGGTTAGGTCTTATTTTGGGGGAAATACAGTACTAAATATGGTACTAAATGTGTCTGTTTGGCTGACAATCTTAATTGGGGCTTATTTTGGGGTTGGGCTTATATTACGAGTATCCCAAAAAAATAATGCTTATTTTCCGGTTAGGTCTTATTTTTGGGGAAATAGGTAATTCCATTAAGGACTACACATTGAATGTAGTTTGTCAACCAGTTACAAATCCATCTGGTGGAGATGGTGTCTATCCCACAGATTGGGGACCCCTGCTCTAGCATATCTCAAGCAGTACCTTGATTCATCTAGGACAGTGGTTCTCAACCTTTTTAATGCCGCGACCCCAACCGGTCATAAGTCGAGGACTAAACCGGTTGTAAGTCGAGGACTAAACCGGTCGTAAGTCGAGGACTAAACCGGTCGTAAGTCGAGGACTTTCCCTGCCTGGGAGCACCGCGCATGTGTGGTTCCGCCCCTGCGCCGGCCGAGGCGTAGCTGGC